GAGGGAGGGTCATAGTAGTTTTGAGTGTTTTTTTTTACCGTCTTTCAGTGAACTTGGTGAAGTTCCGCATCGTGGGTCGAAGACTGACTTTCGTTTCGCGCGGCGGCGACCCTCGCGGGAGGCCAGCGCGCACCCCTACCCCTCACAGCAGCGCGAGCCTTGGCTAGCTAGCTTCCGCCTCCAGCAGACATGCTTTTGCCCCGGGATTCATAAAACAAGAAAATGCTACTCGAAGAGCCCAACTCAAGTGCAGCTAGCACACGAGAAATGATTATTATTCACAGATAAGATTCAACCACCAATAAAGTCAGCACTGTGACTAACTGTGCAGCTTGTAACCATGGTAAGGTCGGAATATGGCGAGCGACCGCGAGGTGGCGCTTATGAAATGATGCACACCATGGCCTCGCCGTCCGCCGCCCGGCCCAGTTCACACGGGGAATAAGGACCACCACATCATACTGGCAGACGTCTCTTCTCCGCGCCGTTCAGTTATTGTGAGGGGCCCGCGCGGCCGCCACGGGACGGCAGGGTCTGTTCAGTTAAAAGGAGCGAGAGAGCCGCCGAGCCCCTCTGTACGTAACGCGCCGCCCTTTTATTATCCGCGAGGGCCGTCCGTGCGGAACGTGTGACTGCGCCGAGCCGCCGCCGAGTCGCGGGGGGTATTGAAAGCGGCCGTCAACAAGTCTCTCTCCCTCTCGGCTGCTGGACCCTCCGCGCGGCGGCGTCATTGTCCGCGCCGATACCCCGCGCCGCCCCCCCCCCGCGGGGTAAGCGCGCTCCGGCGGCACGCTCTTCTTGCTCCCACGCGAACTGCACGCATATATACAGCACAGCCCGTGCGGCTTTCAGATTGCAGAGATGCGCAACGGCGGCTTCTGCAGTGGCATGAGCGGCACCGACCGGCAGATAAAGGAGCAAAAAGGCGTGCGCTGCTCTGTGTGAGTGAGGAGGGGCGTTAGCGCGCCAGGGGTACGGGCCAAGAGAGGTAGAGAGAGAGAGCGAGCCAGAGAGAGAGAGAAACAGCGAAGGCTGTCTCCCTCGCACTCGCCAGGCTAGCTATGATGCCCCCCGATGCACTCAGATGCTCCGGGTCCCCGCCGTATAGTATAGTACTGCCCGCAGCCCAGCGCCGTGCAGCGCCGTAGAGCGCCTCATGCGTGAGCGATTTGGGTAAGTGCAGTTTACCGAGGCGAAAGTGGGCGGCGGCGGCGCCTTCTGGTCCGGACTTGAGGAGCTCCAGCAGGCGCTCCTCCGCGCGCGACCGCACCTTGCACTGTGGGGCAAAGCGATGTCGACACGTGTCCACGTCGGCAAAGGGCGGGCGAACGTTTCGTTGGGGGGAGGGGGGGCAATAAAAGTCGAATATTGTCTTCTCCCAAAGCATCATCCTGCGTCTGAGTAATAAAAAGGGATGCCTATAGAGATAGATTATGAAACGCGCCTATACCTGATTAAGTCAAACGAGCCCAGCCGTTGCGCGCGCGGCAGCCCGGTGTATCATAAACGGGTCGATGGAAAGGGGGAGGGGGGAGGGGCAGGAGCGAAATAGAAAGAACAGAGAGACGACTTTTTTGACATTTCCATGATTAGACGCCTGGGCGGCGGCGTTGCAGCGGAGCGCGAAGTGCTGCTGGTACGCGCCTTGAGCACCCCCCCCCCCTTCCCCTCTGTCCCTCCCCTCCTGTGCATTGCGTTGCAGCTCCACGGGCCCGAAACGGCATGCTACCCTGTTACGATAATGGCAGTATTTACAATGTTAAAAATGCTCTGCGCTTTCGGAACTATATTCTTTGCGTGCTTGTTACCGCACGATTGAATCGTGTTCGTTCAAGTTGCACGTATATGTGTCGCATGCTCATGGACGGTTCACTGCAGCGGGAATTCCCCGTCAACGAAAGGAGATTTCTTGTCGTGATCGCCTCCGCCGCTCTCTTTAATTACAAGAGCGGTTTTGAGAACGAAGTCACGAGCACAATCTGATTGTGCACAGTTGTTGGTTTAGCAGCTGACCTGACAGGTGCCCGAGCCGAAAGCAAAGAGTGTCCCCGTATCCCCCTAACAATAGGGAGGTCCTTGTGGTCGTCTAGGTCCTCGTGGCCCCGACGACACGGCCAGCCCCGGCCAGCCGCAGGAAGCGCAGAGACAGTGTCTACATGGACGGTAATCCGGCGGATGGGCAAAGCTAGGCCACGCCACGCGCCACGCCGAGCCACGCCACGCCCCTCAGAAATTAATTACGGCCAGGTCAAAGAGGAGTGGGGTCTCGCCTGCTCTGGTCTGCACCGCTACTACTTGGCTGGAGTCTGTTCATACTTCGGGAAAGGACCACTACTACCACCACTGCTTTGACTCTCTGATGACCATACTGCTATCTCGACGAAAATTCTAAGGACACTTCATCACTTGCGCGAGGTCGCTGTTGGAAGACTTTGCGCAAACGGGGCCAGAATGACAGTCCCAACCCTCCACCCTCCATCTGCGTCGACCGAGCTGATGACGCGCCGAGCTCAACTACTTGTGCCTATTCGTGCTCGGTGTGCTCGCGGCTACAGCGGTGGGATGGTCCTACCTACCCTTTGGATTACCTTCCTAAGGGTATTATGATGGCAGTTCGACCAAACTGAAGCATCCGATCCCCTACATCGTGTGTTGAGGCCCCACTGACCCGGCGACGGTGTGTGGGCAACCCCTCAGCTAGCCGTGCGGGAGAGACAGAGACGCACAGAAATAGCTTGACGGTAGTTGGCGAGAGCGATGGGCGTCATTTCGACGACTCCGAGGTGTCCAGCCCCCGGGGTCTGTGAGGTCGTAATTGTCATACCTTCGTCAATACCGGTGCTCTCCAGCAGCGGGGATCACGTTAACGGGGTTCTGATGAAAAGGCTCCGGCTCCGCTCCGACTGCCGCGTGGGTTCACTCTCTTTGTTTTCGCTGACGCCGACCTCGGCACACCACAACACCGACAGAGGACAAGCAACCGGCGCTTGCGTCCCTTACCAAGAAACTGAAGCGCAGTGGCCGCCGCCCGCGGTGAGCGCCGCTCGAGGCACGCGGCGGGCAGTGCCGCGGGGGTGGGAGCAGCGGCGGGCGGCCGACACGGGGAGTGCGCCCGAAACCGAGAGGATCAGCGCAAGTTCTCGACGACGACGACGACCCTGTTTGTAGCTGCACAGTTGTTGTAGTAGTCCACAGGCAGCTTCACCGACTGTAGACAAAAGTCCGTTCGGCGCCGTAAATGCTGACCCCCCCCCCGGTCAA